TTAGATGCCTCCAACCTGTTAAACCTTTATGTTTTCAAGTCTCAAAATCTTGATAAGTGGATTTAACACTGTAGACATCAAAAGTATGATTTTCTCAGACATGATAAACCCTCTCTCGAGCTACAAAAACATATACGACATATTTTAGAGTCTTCCTATAATGAATAAAGTGATTGTATTGTGCAAAATTGGTGAAATGTCCCTTTAACTGGGACCATTTCTTCTTGGAAATTAAAATACCTGTGTTTAATCTTTTACTTGAGACATTTCAAATGCAGTTGGATGGAGTTCTATATTTTCTTTATCTAAGATCCAAAAAGCCCTTTGAAATCTGGCATTGATAAAAAATAGTATTAATCTGGATGATTGTTGAAAATGTGCTCTCTAGTTTTAATGTCTGTATAATAATGAAATAGGCCCATGACATGCGTCAACTGATGTCAACAGACACAACAATTATTTAAGAAACCACTAGGTGGCATCAAAACAGTACCTATGTTCCAAGACCTTAATTGAGGCCTACAAATATTTTTTTCTCTTGAAACTACTGTGGAAATATTTGCTATAGAGAATTGAACTGAAATAACAAAACATAGTTTGTCAGATTTGTATCTTCTTGGGCAGATTGTCCTTTGTAGCTTGTTGGTATCTTTACGTCTTAACCCCGTTATACAGTGTAAAATGTGTAACTTTGTTGGACGTGTTTAGGAACATTTTTTATATTGTGCTTTGTTGTAGAACTTATATGACAGCGTTGACATTTGTGGCACCTTATAAAAGTATGTCTTCATCAATTTCAAGCTGCTCAGAATGATACAGAAAGATGTGTGAACTAAGAGAATGATTTAAGGGCATGAGTGAAATACAATTCCACACAGTTTATTTTAAATGTTTTTGGTCACATAAGGCCACTTTAGAATAAATAAACTGTGTGTTCCCCGTCTTTTCTATAGTTTGTGACGTCAAACCCATCATTGCCATGGGAATAGCTATAGGAATGCTTGTTACCCAATTCACATTGCTTTTTTGTCCTCTCCACTAACGTTGTCCATTCAGCCTTGCGTGCAAAGCTCTCATACTATCCCTCTTTTACCATGTGCACTGTAAAACATCAGCACACACTTATAAAAGGGATTTTAGATGAACATCCTGACGCCAGTTGCTGACTGGATTCCTTTTCCTCTCTCCAAAAACGCTCATTATTTATCTTACAAACAAAGCAACTTGTGCAAAATCCACCTCTTTTTCAGCAGTTTTATTCCGTTTTTTTGTACTAACATAGAGCGCTGTTTATCACTTATATTAAACACAGAAATATGCTTATCAAAAAAATGCAATATGACAATAACTGTTTGATTTATTTGTAACTTTTGGTTTATAAATCTATGGTTACATTGCTATGTTTGGAATGCGTAACGGACAAAGATGTTATATGTGCTGTTATTGATATTGAGTCACATTGTATGTAAAGTTAGGTTTCCAGGGGCGCTGGGGGCAGCAAGGTGGTATCCTGCACTGTTTGCGGGGAAGGATCCGGAATCAGGCTGTTTGCTTTGTAAGGCCTGTTGTCTTTCCAGAAGAAACCTTCCCACCATGGGGGCTGGAGGAGCATGCTGAGGGTTTACCACAAGCAGGGCGGATATGGCGCATCCTGCATCCTGGATGCTCGCTGCTGCTAAACCTCAACCATGGAGACCCAACATGGGATTAAAGGAGCTCTCAAAGCCCCCCCATGTCCAACACTGCCCCCCTTTACCTCTGTCAGGTTACATGTAGGTTTGTTTGGGTGTGGTATATTAACTTTAGCATTCAAATGAACATTACATCTGTCTCATTTATTACTCTTTAACTGGGTAAGATAGTGTCAGTTTTACTACCAAAAATTCAATTTAATAAAAACTAAAAGTGAGACAGAATTAGGAATTCAAAATTAAGAGTTTTACTGTAGTCATTTATATTAAAACAATAGTTATATAAAATCAGATAATACAGGCACATTTATGGAAAATAAATCACACAATAACAACTTTTCCCTTTTGAAATGCTTTATGGTTTTTCTTACATGAATGTTGTCCCATTGTAATACATTATTTAGAGTATATCTGACCATTATGCAATTCAAGTGTTGTTAATCTTAGATCCTCATTGTTTGATTTACTAAAACAGAGAAAAAGTAAGTTTGAGACAAAAAAAAAAAAAAAAAAAACCCTAAATAGACCCTCCAGAAAAACGCGATTCTGTGATCGCAGAATTTACTGCATAATCAGCAAAATGGCGCAGATTTCTAAAAGGCCGCATATTTATCAAAAGGCCGCATAATCCCCGCATTTTTCCACACAAAGTTGAGAAAAAAAAAAGTTAACTCGTCTTGACTTGACGTCATCAGCTCGCGCATCACAGAATGTAAACAACACTGTATAGAGTGAACGTGTGGAGCTCACACGATAGAGAAAACACCAAAATGAAAATATCTAATCCATCTCATTTACCGACGAACATTTCTACTAAAGACCGGGCAAAAAGTGGGGGGAAACTANGTCAACCAGTTATTAAATCCAAGGGTTCACATACTTTTTCCACCCTGCACTGTGAATGTTTACATGGTGTGTTCAATAAAAACATAAAAACATATTGTTTGTGTGGTTTTAGCTTAAGCAGACTGTGTTTGTCTATTGTTGTGACTTAGATGAAGATCAGAACACATTTTATGACCAATTTATGCAGAAATCCAGGTAGTTCCAAAGGGTTCACATACTTTTTCTTGCAACTGTATATCTTATTTTACCAGTTAACATTAATTTATTCATCCATATTTTTTTATCCCTCCAGTTTTAAAGGATATTGTTGGTTTACTGTCCTATAGTATACATTGGAATGATTTCAAACATGTTTTTATTTATCCTAATAATTATATAGGTGTGGCTAAATTGTGATAAAACCGTTTGAGACACACTGAGATAACTTAGACTAAAGTGAACTATCTAAACACTCAGAGTCCTTTACCTCACTGAGCCTCTCAGGGTCAGGGCAAATGGAAAATGTAACCGGGGTGAAAAGGGTGTTATCTTTACTTAATGATGAATGTGAAGAGTTGTATCAACAGCTTTTACAATGTGCTGCTGACTGCTGGAAAATGGTTTTACTTGAATGTATTTGTTTCATCCATTGTGTTTACCTGCTAATGCAGGTGGGGCCGACCAGTTATAGTTATTAAACAATTGCATACATTTTAAACTGACATTAAGACGTTGAATCAACTAGTTACAGGGCGAGAGAGTGAGCGAGAGAGAGAGAGAGAGAGAGAGAGATCAGACAAATTATATATAGCTAAATTGATCTAAGCTGTTTTTTTGTATCTTGTCCTTCATTTCGTAAGCTCTTTAAAGAATGTCTTGCCTTGCCTTCTGCACCTGTTCTTTCGTCATATTTACAACCCACTGTTGACCAATCGGCCTCCGTCACTACAAGGAAGGTGGTTAAAAGCAGCTGTCCATTGATTCTGTTTTCATAAGAGCGTTTTCTCCAAATGCTGAAGCAGGAGGACCGTACTGACCGACTTTGATTTACACACTGCTTGACACAACAGGACAACTTAAGGTACAGTAGCTTGGTTTATTTATTTGAATCTCATTCAGAAGTATAAGTGTTTTTTGAGGAAGCATGGAACTACTTCAAAGTCTGAACATTATATACTGTATCGAAACATTATTACATAATACTGTGTACAATAAAAGCTGCAGAATGTGACAGTTTGCTTTGAGAACTTCTTAAATTGTGTGAAGTTTATCTATTAAGTGTGCAGCACAAACAGTGCAGGAAGATAAACAGAGAGTAGAGATAAGGGCAGTGTTGACTCTGAGTGTCTTAAAGTACAGGCTGACATATATGGAGCTTACTTCGTGCCAAACCTCCACAAACAAACTTAACATGATTTACAGATGCCCTATGATTCACTAACAAACACAGTGTGGTTTGCAAATACAATTAACCTATGCTTCATAGAAAAAATCCTGATACCTTTTATAAAATATGGTGGAAATTATTGTTTCTGGAAAGGAACTAGATATAACTTTGTCAATTTGTATGCAAGATATGATTGGATGTGATATAGCTTCGTAACCTAATGTTGAAACCTTTTGAAAATGTCACATGTCCATTTACATTATTTTAAGAAATTGATGTTGTTTTGAGTTTTCTCTTTTGAATTATGTTGACAGTGTCACACTGTCAACAGCTGCATATTTTTGTATTATGCAGATTACATTAGATTGTTCAACGGAAAGAAAAAACTCTCATTTTTTCTGCTCATGTTGTTAAATTTAGTCTGATATTGTTAGAAAGAGCATTTTCTAAAATTGTAGAAAAGATGTCGGTCTACTTGTAAGATCTATACTGTATTTGTTTCTGTCACATGATTTAATTTGAAAAAAAAAAAATGCATTAGTTTTGTAGATGGTGTTTTGTATTCGCAAATAACACTGTGTTTGTTAGTGAATCACAGGGCATCTGTAAAACATGTTTAGAGTAGCTCCAGAGACACATTCTGTTGGTATTCTTGTGGAGCAGTAGAGGAAAGACTGATATAAAAAAATGGACGGAGCAATAATTGCTTACCCAGTTGTGAAGAGAGCATGGGGACGGAACAAGGCCCAAGTTTGTCTTAAATTCTACTGGAGATAAATAATTATAGCTTCTTATTCTGTTTTATTATGTGAATAAAAACAGTGTGAAATACATTTGAATATGTAGAAACAAGGCTTATCTTTTTGAATCTCCCAAATTCCCACTGTTGAATACAAGATCTGTTGTCTTTCCAAAGTCAAACGTATGCATGACATCACTCAACATATCAATTTTCCACCCTTCATTCACTAAATTCATGCTGGACATTACTTTCTCATTATATTTCAGCCATGAGGCTTCTCTGTCTACTGCAGCTGCTCTGCTTCGCTGGTTGTAGTGCATCCAGATCAAGAGACTGGGCTTATCATGGTGCCCCCATGTATGCCGACCTCACAGCACGTGAGCTGAAAGCTGTCCGGGACTACCTGCACAGTATTCCAGAGCTGGAGCTCACTGAAGCTCGTAGCAAGACTCTGATGAAGAACAGCATCCTCCTGATCGAACTGCATCTGCCTAGAAAGCATGAAGCCCTCAGAGCTCTGGACCGTGGACAGGCCAAACCCCAACGTCAAGCCCGTGTGATCATCCAGTTCGGGAACAAGACCGAACCCAACATCACTGAGTACATTGTCAGTCCTCTGCCATCCCCAAAGACCCACACAATCAAGACGTTCAAGGGGGCTAGGCCTATCCGATTTGAGTCAAGGCCTATTTCCGCTGTAGAGTATTATCATATTAACGACATACTAGGAAAGATCGCAAATAAAGCTCACAAGCTTCTATTTGAGACCACTGGAGGGTTTTCCTTCAATAACTGCTCAAACCGCTGCTTGACGTTCTCAGACATAGCCCCCCGTGGGCTTGGTCCAGGTGAAAGGAGAAGCTGGATAATGTTGCAGAAATTTGTGGAGGGTTATTTCATCCAACCAATTGGGTTTGAAATATTGATAAACCACCAGGACCTGGACCCAGAGAAGTGGAATGTCGAGAAGGTCTGGTATAACAGCATGTTCTTTGACAGTGTTGAGGAACTGGTTGAAAAATACGAATCAGGAGATGTGGAGAAGATCAAACTGCCTGAACATGACGACAATGACCTGTACTCTAGTTACATCCCCCGGGGTCACAGCAACACAGCCACTAATATCCATGGGCCGAAGCTTGTCGAGCCTCAGGGCAAGCGCTATCACGTTGACCGCAACTTTGTTGAGTATGCTGGATGGTCTTTCGCCTACCGTGTCCGATCATCGGCTGGGCTTCAAGTTTTTGACCTGCGTTTTAATGGGGAAAGGATTGCCTATGAGATCAGCCTACAAGAAGCTATTGCCTTCTATTCTGGTGATACTCCTGCTGCCATGCAAACAAAGTACATTGATGCCGGCTGGGCAATGGGCAGCTCATCCTACGAACTGGCGTCAGGAATAGACTGTCCAGAAATTGCCACCTTTGTTGACCTGTACCACTACTATGACACGGATAAACCAGTGCGCTACAAAAATGCACTCTGTATTTTTGAGATGACCACTGCTATGCCTTTGAGGAGGCATTTTGACTCCAACTTCAAGGGGGGATACAACTTCTTTGGAGGGGTGGATAACGCTGTGCTGGTGTTGCGGACAACCTCAACGGTTTATAACTATGATTACATCTGGGACTTCGTGTTCTACCAGAATGGGGTGGTGGAGGTAAAGGTCAGCGCTACCGGATACATCCATGCCACTTTCTTTACAGCTAACGGACTTCACTATGGCGCCAAGGTGTACAACCATGTGCTTGGTAACCTGCACACACACCTCATCCATTATAAGGTTGACCTGGATATTGCTGGTAAATATAACAATCAATTGCCTTTTTCACTGGAACTAACATTCTGTCATTATCATTTGCTATTGTAATAGCTGTAACCATATTTTATCTATTAAGGTTGCAATTTCTTTTATTTTCACACCTCTTTTTCAATGTACATTTTGAAGCTGTGGAGTGTGTGAAATCAGATCAAAGAAAGCGCAGACAGAAAGTAGGTCTTTTATTGATGCCAATCCAGATAAAATTGTTTCCTGGACTTTACCCTGTTGTAAAGGGTAGCTAGATTGCCAATTCCGTTGAAATGTGGGATCAAGGCTTGCTGTGATAAAGGCTATGTGCCATAAATAAGTCAAACACTTAATGGAGAATTTTAATGCAAAAGTAAATGTACTGTAGACCAATATTGTTCCAACACACTGCTTTTACCTTAACCTTGAACTTCTTCTGACAACTCTTTGCCTTCACTGTGACATAGGTCGAGAGAACAGCTTTGAGACGATTGATTTGAAATATGTCAACTTCACAAATCCCTGGAGTCCAAAGAACTTCATCGTCCAGTCCAAACTCCATAGGACAGAGCAGAAGACCGAGAGATCAGCTGCTTTCCGCTTTGGCAAAAAATTCCCCCGCTATGTGCACTTTTACAATCCCAATGAGAAAAATAAATGGGGACACCAGAAGGGTTATCGGATTCAGTTGAACTCACATGCCCACAGTGTGCTTCCAAGAGGCTGGAGGGAGGAAAATGGCATCAGTTGGTCAAGGTATTAAAATGTTTTCCCTTATGTTGTACAAAATACATATACATTTAAACCAAGACAATTACAAGTGTCCTGATCATCATTTCAGACACACTTTCTGCAAATTCAGTCATATACAGTGGGCTTTTGAGTTTTGCATTCAAGCTACATTTACACTAAACAAATTAGTTTGTAATGATTGACCCAGAGAACGATAAGTGGGGCTGAAGAGGCTAATCCCTGCACATGAAGTTTTGTTAGAATTCAGGTCAAAGTATGGATTGGCAGTCAACAGAGGTGCAGCAGATAACAGTACAACAACACTTTGTTGGAAATTGTCTTTGGATAGACTATAAATTGTTTGAAGCTAAATAACAACAGGGGCCCACTTTTGAAATTACTTAATGAAAGACTGGCTGGGGAGTTGTTATGAATTATTAGTTTGAAAGCCTACAGAATGACGAAACACAAAACATATCTCCTCTCCACAGGTATCCTCTTGCTGTGACTCGTCATAAAGACAGTGAAGCCACCAGCAGCAGCATGTACACCCAGGGTGACCCATGGGACCCCGTTGTGTCCTTTGAGGACTACATTCGCAACAATGAAGACATAGTAAATCAGGTAAGATATTTCAACAATGCACATCAAATTCAAGATGGTTTAGATTACATTATTAGACGTTTTAACCCTAACCCTTTTTCCAGCTGAGAGGTTAGCTCTTCCTTAAAGAATCGTTGTGCTCTCTCAAACTCATGGTAACTCCTGAATGGTGACATTTACCTTTGTTTGCTCTTTTGAATAGACACAAACACCTGTAATGTGTTCTTTTCTAAAAAGGTCTAATGTATTATTTGCTCTCCTGTGTGCAGGACCTGGTAGCCTGGGTGACAGTAGGCTTCCTGCATGTGCCTCACTCAGAAGACATCCCGAACACGGCAACCCCCGGCAACACAGTGGGCTTTTTCCTCCGACCGTTCAATTTCTTTGACGAAGATCCTTCGGTGGCATCCAGAAGTACCGTCATCGTCCGGCAGGGGAAGGACGGCAAGCCCAAAGTCCAGAGGTGGACTCCTGAGGTCATAGGTCACTGCGTGTCAGACAAGCCCTTTGTTTACAA